TTTCTTGCTCTTTAGGTTATGGGCTGAACAAAAAGCAGGCCACATGAGGCCCACGGTATCCTGTATCACACATCAGGACTTTCTTACCTTTATTATGGGATTGTATTTCATCTGGATCCAGATTTACAACTGCTCACGCTATGAAATATTGTGTGCTTAGAAGGATGGGAAACACCTCTGCATTTAAAAAAAAAATGCTCACAATTATTTTGTTCGTGCAGGTTAAGTGTAGCACCCCAGCTTTTTGGCAAGCTGCAGTGTCCTTTGCTTCAAGTTTGTCATATCTACTTCAAGGGATGCAGTTTGTCATTTATGACATCAGTTTTTACTGTAGCATCTGCGATATCATTAGACAAAGTACCTCCCCTTAGTATTTTAACCTTTAAAAATCTTTAAAAACATTTATTAGGACTGTTTAAATTCCTCTGCTTTAAATACACCTATGTCTAATAAGTTATACTTACTTGTCAAACGTCAAAGAGCTGAGGTAGCCATACTGCCTTCTAATTAAAGCTTCCTAATATGCTGTTAGTTTACAGCTCCTCCCAACAAGCGTCAGATTCCCCTGCTGAAGATCCCAGAGTACTGAACAAGTCTGGCTCTTAGGCCATTGCAACCTCTATAAATTTAGTTGTCAGCACATTGACGGTAAAAACCCTGTTCCGTATTTAACATTAACAGAAGATGCGCAGTTTCTGCAAAAGTGCTTGTTTTACCACTTAACTGAGCGTTGATAGCTTCTAATCTGTGCGAGCGAGTCTTCAGCTTCAAGATGCTATTTCTGTGCTCCTGTATATTGAAAAGCTTCATATACCGCTCACGGTTTACGTAGAGATCAATTTCTTTTGGAGAAAAAAACTGCAATAACTTGCCTATAAATTGTCAAGATTTTGCTTTAAGATTTTTTGCTCTTGATAAACATTGTCTTAAGTATTAAAACTTTCAAGAGGACTATATTAGCTTTACTACGTGTGCTTTCAATTTATAACCAGACACTAAGGTAGTTGACTTGCAAACTAACAGATGCACCGTTCAAATCTTTAAATAGTATGTTTCTGACATTCCTTTAAAAAAAACCTAAAAAAAAAAGACATAATTATATCATTACAATATATTAATTTTTTGACAGTTCAAATGCCAAATTAATTTGACTTCACTGGCATAACTTTGATACCTTTTTTATTTTATTGGGCAAAGTTCCCTAAAGTTTGAAATCCTGTATAATCTGTTTTTATATTTCACTAGTTTTGCTGTGGTTTTCTTTTGGTCAAGATGATAACCGTTCCAGTGACTCCTACCACTGATATGGGTGATAAATCAATGCATTTTTCAATACTATATTCAACTGAATGCTGAATGAGTTTCTGTTCTGTGGTACCCTTTTGCTAATTTTATCCAGAGTTATTGAGCAGATCTTATTTCTTGTACAACAGTGTCTAATACTGTTTTTTTTCCCCAGCTCAAAGGTATATTCTTGATTTAGTTCAAGAAAATGCATGTTCATTATTGGGGAGCAAATAGGAATTTAGTGCTGGCACATAATGATGCCTCGTGCAGCTGATAAATAAAAACACAACTACAAGCCTATTTAAAACTTGCGTGACTGCTCGTGCTTGTGACGCTCCTGTTGCTTCAGAAGGAGACAGTGATCCAAGCCATGTCAACAAGGTAAACCAGTATTGTGGAGTTAAGTGCAATTTCACGGGATGTGACTTATCCGCAAGTTGTCACCAATAAAGCTAGTCATCTCCTTTGAGACACGATGGGTTTCATTACCATAGCAACTACTTTAATTCTGCTGCACTCCTATGTCTTAAAATCAACGAAAGACAGCTTTTGAGCTGTGCTTTGGCGCAGTTGCTCTTCAACTTCAGGCTCCCGCTACTGTTGCTGCAGTGGGTCCAGCCCTAAATATGCCGAGGTCAACAGCATCTGTGCGAGTTGTGCAGGCTGACTCCTGCCCTTAAGATCTGTACGCCTGAAGCGGCGTGGGCGCTGCGAGGAACCACGCTGCTTACGTACCCGCCTCCCGCTTCTCATGCGGTAGCGAACTGCTGGTGAAGAGAACGCTTGCCTGATCATCCGTGGTGATGTGCCTGTCCCCTCTCCCTCGTGCAGCAGTGAACGCTGTGAAGTCCAGTTCAATGAGCCAGCGGCAAAGGGAAGACGTTTTAACTTTGAACACGCCGCGAGGATCCTGTGAGCTGCAGATGGGCAAGAGTGACCTCTGCTTTCTGGCAGTGGCAGGATACGGCACAGTCAGAGGACTGCTGTGATCACACACAAAAAACATTGTCCAATTAGACCTCTTTCTGGTATCTTAAAGCATAGGAGGAAATGTACCTTTTTGAAGAAGTGACTCAGTGTGTTCGATGTATTTAAGCTAGAATCCTCTCCAGTTTGATTCGGGGGAAGAATCTGTTCCAATTTTTCTAAATGTTTTCTCTCCTTGTGCCCCTCTTCCTCCCTCCCCCTCCCAGACAACAAAGCTTTGGGATAGTGTTGATGTTTATACACTTTACACCTAAGTATAAGGAGATGAAACCATGTATATTAATCATATCAAAGCAACTGCAAATCTATGTCTGCTGTTTAAAGCCAACAGAACAGTGTTTTAAGTTCAGTAAGTATTGTATAGATATATCTCAAGTTCAACTGATGACAATTGTGCATAAAATGTTACCGATGCTGTAAATTATTTTTAATAAAGAAAATTGTATCACAGCTCTTGTATGTTACCATCTCTTTTGAATAGATAGTACGGAATACACTTAAAATGGTACTGTAACTATGTATGAAAGGGTGGGGTGAATAAGGAAGAGGCTGTAATTACGCATCTTGCGTTTTCTCGTTAGGAGCATCTCACATGTGGGCTTCCAAAGCATGTTTAGATGGTGTAGAAAGAGTTTTTCTGTGTTAGGTGATCCAGATACTGGTCTGGATATTGTATCAAATGCTTTTTGAATAGCCTTTTTTTTTTTCTTCAGGAAAATGTCTGCTTTAATTTAGAATCTAGATCAAGTCCTGTATTAAAGCAAGCTGTTAACCAAGGTTACGGCTGTGGCACGTAGAGCTTACAGCTATGACAGGATCTTCAAAAGCCACTTGGGGGTGTCCGACAGTGACCCACCTCTGAAGACTCGCTTTCAGAAGAGGCATTAGACTTGCATCCAACACAGAGATGCTAAATTATTCAAGTCTTGTCTTTCTTACAGATAACGGTAAGAGAGGCCGAAGTACAACCTTAGTCCTGTGCGTTGCCCCACAACCGCAGTGTGCTTCCCACCAGGATACTGGGCAGGCGGGAGAAGTGTGGAAGTCTACGGCTCTTAAGTCTTGGCACAATCTAGTCTGAAAACTAAGGCAAGACTAACGGGGTACAGATCTGCAAAATGCATTGTAATGTGGTTTACAGAGAGGAGGCGTGTGTTCCGATTCTCTTTTCTGTAACCTGCTATGTATCTTAAAGTCGCGAGCATAGTGAGAATGCTTTCCTGCTGTGTCAGTTTTGTTCTGGTGAGCTAAACCGTCAGCCAGCCTCAGAAATCGGGAGAGGGGACCCTAAATATTTTCCAGAACTCTCATTTTTGAAAAGACTTGCTTGTGTGATTTCTGGGGGGCTAGGAGGGGGGAGAGTGAAGTAAGTAAAAATATTGATTAGTTGGTCAATCACTTTGCTTAGTAACATCTGGTCTGAAATTGGGGGGAAAAAAGCCAAGGAACTCATATTTGTTTCTTGGGGATATAGTTTCCCTTTTATAAATTCCCTATTGGATTAAAATAATGTTTTCAATTTAATGTCCTTAATGTTACAGATAACACTGAAATATTGGGACAGAGGGTTCCTAATGATTGGTTTACTTAAAATGAAGCTTCTTTTTTTTTGTTAACTTCAGTAAGCCTCTCCTAGATCCTTTTTTCCTCAGATTCCTAATACCGTCATAGTGGGACCTCCAATATTGCAGAAGATTGCTTTTTTTTTTCATTAGGAATTTCAGAAGAGATTTATATATTGATCTTGAAAGCTAGTATGTGTGGGGGACGGAGGTTTGTAATTACTTTAAGTCTAAAATTCTCTGGGACTGGACAAGCGTTCCCGGTCTGAACTCCGGTGCAGTCTAAAGGCCATCCCGAGAACGCGGCCTCAGGTTTGTTACAGGTGACCGATCTGCGGCCAAAACAGGTGGCAGAGGTTTTGATCTTGTGGGCTGATGAAAGGATTTAAACAAAATAATCCAGCGTAGGTCTCTGCTCTACGGATAGCAGTGGGAGCGCTTTTCCTGAAGTGTTTTCCCTGGAAGCGTTTCCTTCCCCCACGCCGTTCGAAACCCGAAGCCGGTAA